CGATATGGCGATATATCGGGCTGAACAATATCGATATCGGAAAAATCTTTATTGAAAATCCTACTTCCAATTGAATAGAATATTAGACCTGCCTGTCAACTCACCTGATTGTGTTATTTCCTTCTTGTATATTTACTGAGGATTAAAACGGCATGCCGGTCGACTAAAGCGGTTTGTCAAATTTAAGAGCTAAATAAATCCCACAAGCTGCTGATTAAACCTACTTTAGTATTTTCCCATGCACTTTTTTGTAGATCAAAAATAAATTTCAACTTAAATATCGATATTGCGGGTAAAGTATCGATGTGTTCGATATATCGACCTTGGAATAACGATTCCAAAAATCGAGTATCATGCCATGAAATATAGATATTCAGAATAATCGATTCGATATCGAACATTCTTAGATGAAATTTGTTTGCTAGATAACCCCGATTTACATGATTCTAGTACTTGAAAGCAATTCTTGCTCATTCTCTTTTGTGTTTTCTATTTGCTTTTACAAGTTTCAATTCTGTTGAATTCAAGTTTTTGGTTAAGTTATATATTGGCGTGGGCTTTTTGTATCTTGATATAAGCATTTAGTGCCCATTTACACACGGCGATTTTTGGTGCCGCAACTCGACGTTTGTAGGAGAGAGCGGGACGTGGAAAGGAGAGGGGCGCCGAGTTGCTCGTGCTCGGGCAATACGCTTTGTACTCTCGTTCGTCTGTGTAAATTGAACCGCTGTTCACAGCTGACAACAATTGCATACACACAAATCGCCGTGGGTAAATGTAATGAGAAACACAAAAAGGGAATGTGAAAAATCGCGTCGACAAAAGTTTCCGTGTATAAACATAGTCTTAATAAACCTTTTTGAGTACTCCTCGGGGCATGATTCAATAATACAAGGTTCGATAAACTGACAGTTGTCTCTCTCGCACCGCTCCCGTAGCATTGGCACCGTGTTGATTCTTTGCAAATTTACTTGGAAAAAGTGTAGCTTTGGAGTGCAATACAAGTATAAGCTTTTGTGCAATATATTTATTTGTATATGCATATGAAGCATATTAAACTGATGAAAACATAAATTATTTTTAAATTGGATGTTTATATAAATCTCATAGTAGTTTTATTTTAATTTTGAGTTATTTTGCAGTTTTTATACAGCTAAATAGCATATAAATTACATAATTTACGTAGATATATCAATATTAAGTTCAATATGGCAGATTTTCTGCAAATACATTAAAATTTACAAAAGGAGTTTCACTACTAATTGCCTACTTTGCGTACTTTTCTACTACCATTATCGCACCAAGAGATTTCATTCTTCCCCTTTCTTTGTCCTTTGCAAATGCAACCTTTTGGAAGGGAGTGTCAAAACGCTGCTGTCAATAATTATCTAACCTTGTATTATGTAGCATTGAATGTGTTGGCTGAACTTATGACCACCATTACCAACGCAGTCTCCAACCAAATGCGTGTCTTGGAATTATACGCACTTCTATTAATAATCGAAAAAAACTAGTGAAGACACCGATTGGAATGAGTGAAACGTGAGTTTTCAAGTAGTTTTCAGCGAAAACTGGTTTTCGTTTGACAGATTTTACAGGGACGAAAACACAAGTTTTAGGTCGAAAACCAGTTTTAGCAACGAAAACATGTTTTCGATGTCGGTCAGAACATGGTATTAAGTATTTTTGACGAGTTCCGCTCAAACTTGGGTGTGCTTAATGAGCTGTCTGGACGGATGCGCTGGCAGGCATTGAAGTCTCTATAACTAAACAAACCTTTTTTTTTGTAATAAAGAGATAAATATATTCGGAAATTTAGACTTTTCCTTGATAAGTTCACAAAATTCAAGTTTTTTTAATAAAAATACGATGTGAGTTTCCAGTTTATAGAAACACAAGCGCTAATTATTAACTATTGATATTATTCTTAATTAAGCATTGATACTATACTTAACCTACATTTGGTTCATAAATATCACAATTATATATATTTTATCCTCGAAAAACCTTTTTCTAATCATGAGGTGAAATTCCCCACAGTAAGTGTTGCCGTGCGCGAAAATCGAAAACGCAGCACACAACCCAAAAGCGCTCCTCGGGGCCCAATTGGTGAAAAACTGCGAAAAGCTTTAGGAGTGTTCGCTATCCAAAAAATGTGTACAAGTTGGTACCAATTATTACCAAATCGTGTGAGTTTAGCCAAAAACCCAGTAAAACTTGCAAGGAGAGAGCATAATTTTGACATTTCATTTGGAGGGGAAGTTGCAAATTCGTGCTGGGAAAATTTTTGCCAGTAAGAATTTGCAAGCAGGATTGTGGCACACGGTTGCATTTTTGTCAACATTAATTTGAATCAACGAGTTCGTTAAATTTAAAAATGAACAATCCTGGTGCGATTTACTAATGAAAGAAGTATGAACTATTTGATTACTCAATTAATTTAATTAATTCCAAATAATTGAAAGGTACGCGGCTGAAAAAGGTGTATTCGTAATCGGAACGCACTCGACACCGCTGTCGATATAGGAAATCCGACAGTGACTTCCACAAAGAAATTGAAGCGTATGTTGAAGAAAGCCAGAATAAGAAATATACGTAAAGGTCCTGTTTTGATTTCTACCTGATATAATTTAAAAAATTTATTATGCTCGAAATACAACCGCGGGCGCCGGCTGGCAGTGAATCTTGCAAATGTTTGCTAATTCCTGTTCGCGCAAAACTTGGTAAGTTTTTCTCTTTGGGAGAGTAAAGTATTTTATTCTCTGAATTTTGTTACTGGCTAATTCTTACTGGCAGTTGCATAGCGAACACTCCTTTTATTACTGTATATCCTGTGCAAGAAAGTACGAAAACCAGCAAGAAGTTGCAAGTTTTATGAACTGATTAGTTTGTTATTTTTCAACGCAATTTTCTAAGAAAAATATATGTATTTCTCATCTTAATATATATTTGCAACTCTAAAAGCACCACAAACCATTCTTTTGGTAATGGGAATTGCATTAAGCACCACGCCATCAGCTGTTTTTCTTACTAGCAAATAGTTGCTAGTAAAAATGTATCCAGTAAAACTTGAAAGTTCAGCTGTCATTTTTGCTGTATCAAATTCCACTCCTTTGGTAGTTTCTTGCAAGCAAGGCGAATTTATATAAAGCGGTGTTACTAGATGTCAAATTGAAAAATTTTGTTTGAATTTCCACACACACACTTACAGATTTTGACAGTTAATGCCACCAAAGCAAAAACAAAATACATGTAAATTTTTGTTTTTGCTCTCCTGCTATCACCTTATATTAATTCGCCTTGCTGCAAGTTTTTACGTACGAAAACGACATCCAGTAAAAACCAGTAAAATTAGTACTGGACTTTACTGGATAGTGCGTACGCGAACAGGGCTATTATGAAGCTTCAAAGATCTAAGTATCCGTCAAGAAGTTGTTTATGGAAACTACCTTCTTTTTTTACCAAGGAACTAGCAACTCTCTCTCGTTCTCACGATACCCATTTTTTCAAATTCGGTCAGGAATTTTTCGAAATATGGTCATTTTAAATTTTCGAAAATTCCCCCTTCGCCCCACCATTACCCCGAAAATATGTTTGCCATAAAAATTTTTATACCATGTAAGTTAGAAAAAAGGACGGTCCACGCCCTCTTTTTTTGTTTTGTTCCAGCTTAACGGGCCGTATTCTGAACTTATGCCAAAGATTTATCCATGGAATATATGTATATTAACGCAAGAAAACGCGATTCCATGCACAGTATTTATGTATCTGCATCAGATGTTCTTAATTAACAAAGTTTATTTCAGACAAGTTTTATTAGCTTATTTTCTTAGTAAAAACTATGGAGCTGACTACATTTCCAACTTTGCCTCCAAATTTAAACGAGGGTGTGGGAATTGTACATTTCTTGACAAATTTATCAACAAAACTAATTATGAGTTCATCTTCAGTCCAATTACACGATGTTATAATAAAAACACTTTTTTCATCCATAATACTATGAACTGTACGAATATAAGCCTCCCGTTTTTCTTTTGGATTTTTCGGGCATAAGCTGATAGCGTCATAAGTACCTTTGTCATGCACAATGCCGAAAGGAGTGTCTATTTGTTGCAGAAAAAGTTCGTTATTTAGCAGATCGGCGACCTCGTAACGAATGATCAATTCTTGATCTTTGGCAATTTGTTTGGCCAACTCAATAGCATTGGGAGAGTAATCTACGCCAAGCAAGTCGGTATATCCCTCGCGTGCCAATTCAATTAGAAGCATGCCATTGCCACATCCCATGTCAATTATCTTTATATCTGTTGATAAATTATCCTGCTTCATTATCCAGTTTATGACGCGAACCTGGGAGTCCTCATCAAACCAAATTTCACCAACATCGCCATAATTTTTGTAGTTTTTAATTTCACGGTCGTAGCTGTTGTCCCAATATTCTTTGGTACCAAGCTCGGAGCCATTCAGCTCATCCACAGACATCTTACTTCTACACGGTATAATTGTATGTATTTGTATTAAAACAATTAATGTAATGTAAATAATAAATATAACTTTGGGCACATGTACTTGCGAGATAGAAAAATTTGCCAGTAGTAAAAACGTAACTTTTATTTGTGTTTTTACGCGAAGTTTGCTATTGCCATGATTGACGTTTTGCAAAACTTGACAGCCATGGTCAGAGAACGTAGATTCTATGTTTTATGCAATACGTTCTCTGGTTAGGGATTTCAGTGGCAAAATCGATGTATTTCTTTGATTCGGTACATCGAAAAATACAAAAATATTTTTGGACCCATCGACGGGAATACATCGATTTATCGATTTGCATAGGGTTTTTCAGTTATTGGGCCGTATGACGTAAAGACTTAAAAAGGTCTGAAATTTTAAGAAAGAGCATTTGCTTAGGTTTTATGCATACAGTCCATTATTTCACATTATTTCACGAAATAAGTTATAAGCAAAATTGTACAAAATTTCAAATTAATTAAGCTAATTATGTTTTTAACGGAAATTTTTAGAGACATTTAATTGTTTTGGCCAAACTCGCTTCTCTTTTGTTACATTATTGAAAAACTGTTTCATTTCCTTTCATTTATTACAGAATCATTAGTACAATAATGGCCGGTTACTCAGGGCCGGTTGTTCAATATCTGGTTATCACTACTTCCTGGTTAAACATCATTATCGACGTTTTCCACTCCATTCAAATAACATGGTGTCGGTAACGTCGATAACGGTGTTTAACCGGGGATTAGTGTCAACCAGGCTTTGAGCAACCAGGCTTTGAGAAACCAGCCCTAAAACTTGTAAAAAGTAAAGATTAATGGCCTTATTCATAAAAAATAAAGTAGCTTTATAAAAGGTTTATAAATTCAAAAATGTATGAAGGCGTCAATTTATAAAGCTCTTTAAACCTACTTCATTTTTTATGAATAAGGCCCTAAACTTATAATCAAAAGTACAGACAATTAAAACAATACATTGGTTATACATATTAATTTCAGATACCTTGTTTAGATAGCAAAGCTCATAATTATATAACATATTTAGATTTCTTTTAACGAAATTACGCATAAAGAACATCCTTAGGGCCGTTTTCTCCAACTCTGGTTAACACTAATCGCCAGTTAAACATCGTTGCCTACGTTACTGACTCCATGCATATTACATTGGGTCGGTAACGTCGGCAACGATGTTTGACTGGCGATTAGTGTTAACCAGAGCTAGTGAAAACGGCCGTTAAAGGCTTTTATTTAGACTACTGCGAGTTGCCATTGGAATAAGAGTCCCATGTACGATCGATTTTTAGATCGAGTGGAAAATTGTG